ACTATTCTATGCAAATATGTGTCTTGGACTAACCCTTGAATCAGCAATTCCACAGAAATTCCAAGGTAGTGGTATGTGGAATGTACAGATACGTTCACATTCTAGTTCAACCACATTAGAGAGCTATGTGAACTACTTAACATTAAGGGGGGTCGGTGGAAAGATGCTCAAAACCGTTGGTTTTCGACCGCTACGACCCGGGTTCGATTCCCGCATTGGGCACTTTTTTCTGATTAAAAAAAAATGTTCCAATGGCCCCCGATTCTTGCAAAAGTCCAACCCTACCAGCGAGTGCAAGTAACCAAACTGGGATCTGGCACATTTGTAAGTGCAAAGTCGAATTGCTTTTCACATCTGTAGACATGTGGTGCACTTACAGTAAAAGCAGTTGCCAACTTCTACCCACCATGATTACAATGTGGCCTGTACTACGTGTACTAGGGATAAGCAAGACTTAACATTAGAGACAAACATATTTTGTCTTTTACCAAACGTTTCTCTAAGTAAAATTATGACAAGCTAGTTAAGCTTTTACTTACCGTGGCATCTTCATTAGCAAATGATTGCATCCTACATGGTACGCTTTGAAAAACAATGGTGAAAAAAAGTGAATTTATTATCACTATCAAAATTATTTTGTTCAATTTTTTAATATACAGTAAAACCTCGCTAAAACGTACCGTGGATATAACGAAGATTCTCTTATAAAGAACCTGAAATAATCCTCACGATATTAGTGATACCCTTTGATGAACAATGGCTATAGTGAACCGAAAAGTTCAATTCCATTAAGGCTCTCTATAGTGATGTTTCACTGTAATTTTCTACAACTCTAACTAAATGACATTTTTTAAAATATATTTATTAGGAGGGTTTATTTGGCTTATCAATGATGAAATATAATAGTTTTGACCTATTTTAGTGGTTGTAGTAATTTGTCTTAAAAAAAAAACTAGAAGTAAATGGTTAGTGCTGATCATGCTGAGTTTGCCACTTTCACCTATATATGGCGTTCTGTTTAGTATTCAAAGAAACACTTGTATTTTTAAAAACATTTTTGGCGGGTTTTTTAACTATAATAATTACCAAAAAAAAAACAACTAGTTAACCATTTTAATATAACAACCTGCTATATCTTGCAATATGTATCTTCTGTTTTAAAGAAAATTTTCATTGAAAAATAAACTCTATTATTATTTTTTTCTAAAATTCTCCGTGCCATGTGAAGATCTTCAAAAGTATAAGGTTGTCCCAAAAATTCATGTTTTTCTTAAAACGTTGTTTTTTTCTTATTACTTGGCGAATAATATTATTACGGCGCGAATACATAATAATACACATAATACAAAGACATAATACATAACGGCGAATAATATTGGTATTTCAATTTTTTTACAAGTGTTTACGAACTTTTGGGACACATTTTTATATTATTTCACTTGAAATTTTCAGAGGAAGAATTTGAATGAATTTTGATATTTTTTTCTAATGATTTAATACTTCACGCTTCTATTCTTCTCTTTTTAATTAATTGTTTTTTTATTTTTCATATTTTATATTGTATAGAAAGACACATTCTTATAAACCTCGCGCAAGAATTTTCCTGACCTTAAAAGTGAGTGAATTATTGGTGATAAAAAATATGATAATAAGGTAGAATGTTTAAAATATAAACAACCTCTATAGTGAACTCTAATGAAACTGAACTTGCGGTTCACTATAGCCATGGTTCATTATAGCCATAGTTCACTTTATTATAAAATGGGGATTATTTCTGGTTGGTTATAAGAGAAGGTTCGCTATATCTCCGGTTCGCTTTAGCGAGGTTTTATTGTGTATATTTATACTCAAGAAAGAGAGAGAGATATCCGAAAGGTATAAATATGTATATAATGTAATTTTTGAAGAAATCTTTTTGTTATATTTTAGGAAGATGTATACAGTAAAACCTCTTTAAAGCGAAGCCTAATGGGACTGAACTTTTGATTCACTATAACCATGATATATCACACTATAACCATGATATATCACACTATAACCATGGTTCTTTCACTATATGGTATTACTAATATTAAAGATTATTCTAGGCTCTCGTTATAAGGGAAGATTTGTTATATCCTCGGTACGTTTTAGAAAGGTTTTTCTCTATATATAGGCTTTTTTTTTCAATAAAGAAAGTTTTGCTTATATAAAATATAGAAACTAAAACCTATATCATACACAATTTCTGAAGTTAAGAACGTGTGTTATGATTTATTTAGAATGAGATTAACAATTGAGGGTATCTAATTTTTGTCATATAAATGTTATTTATTTAGAATTCTGAGGGTAAATTTACATTTAAGAAACTATATAAACTTCTATTTACACAGTAGACTTACCTCAACGATAGAGTTGATGCCTCATCCATACAATGTGAGAAGTACTTGTAAAACGACATTTGAAAACTATCCCGCATGTGTTTCTTTTCAACGAAAAATCAAAATTTATTTTAAGGAGAAATAACGATTATTTCTAACCTTAGGGATGAGATATGAAAGGAAGAATTGTGAAGAGTAATGATAAATTACTAGTTTCCCATCCCTGGACACTTTTATTTTTCCGTTTATCATTACTCTTCACAATTCATCCTTTCATATCTCATCCCTAAGGTTAGAAATAATCGTTATTTCTCCTTAAAATAAATTTTGATTTTTCGTTGAAAAGAAACTCATGCGGGATAGTTTTCAAATGTCGTTTTTACAATCACAAGCCGTATTATATTATATTGTATTATAGTGAGAAGTACTCATCCCTTTCAATTCCATTGACAGGAAATCCTTGTAGTTTTTTATAAAAATCTTGACAGCGAAGTAAATCTTTAATTAAGTCTGTCCAAAGAGCCAGCTGTCATATTGAAAAGGTATATTTGGTATCGATGCAAATATTTAATTATTTTTTTACGTGTAAAGTTGTTCTTTTGGGTCTTGTCGATTGTCGAAAATCCGCTTTTAGTTCACTTATACATAGTCAGTATTAGTGGAAATAATCGCGGAATTCTTAAGAACACAATGTATCTCCAATGCGTCTGAAGACAATAGTTGTAATCTTGACAATTGGATTAGAAAACCAGAAAAAAATGGTCAGAATCGGCTTTGATCAACGATATGGTATATTGGGGATCGCTTGATGCATGTATACCACAGGATATCTAACGGACTAGAGAGCCGGCAGTATTTCATCTAAGTTAAATGATATAAAACTTAAGAGAGAGAGAGAGTTTGACAATTTAATTAAAAAACCAGAAAATGGTAAAATCTGCTTTGAGAGATCAACGGGATCACTTGATGCACTTACCACAGGATCTTTATCAAACTAGAAAGACACAGCAGTATCTCTTCTAAGTTAAATGATATAAAACCTAAGAGAGAGAGAGTTTGACAATTTGATTTAAAAAAAAACCAGAAAATGGTAAAATCTGCTTTGAGATATCAACGGGATCGCTTGATGTACTTACCACAGGATCTTTATCAAACTAGAAAGACACAGCAGTATCTCTTCTAAGTTAAATGATATAAAACCTAAGAGAGAGAGAGTTTGACAATTTGATTTAAAAAAAAAAACAGAAAATGGTAAAATCTGCTTTGAGATATCAACGGGATCGCTTGATGCACTTACCACAGAACCTCTAACGGACTAGAAAGCCATCTAAAAAGCTATCTAAGCCAACCTAATTTAAATTATATTTAAAATCTAAAAGTGGTTTTGATAATTTGATTAAGAAAATGCTAAAAATCTGCTTTGAGATAGAGAGAGAGATCAACGGCTGGTATGTCTTCGGGATCACTTAAAGCATGTACCACAGGATCTCTAACAGACTAGAGAGCCGGCAGTATCTCTCATATAAGTAAATTGATATAAAAGCTAAGTTTAACAATTTGATTAAGAAAATGGTAAAAATCCACTTTGATCAACGGGATTGATATATCTTCAGGATTGCTTTTGATACACATACTCCTAACAGACTAGAAAGCGCTACAGCAGTATCTCTCATATAAGTAAAATGATATATAAAAGCCAAGTTTTGACAATTTGATTAAGAAAATGGTAAAAATCTGCTTTGTTCAACGGGATGGTATGTCTTCGAGATCACTTTATGCACGTACCATAGGACCTCTAACGGAATAGAAAGAGAGACAGAAGTATATATTTATATAATATCTAAGTTCTCTCTAAATAACTTATAATGATCTCCATAGAATCTAATTTCTTACCTCAAATAGATATCTTCACTTTTCCAAAAGAGGATCTTTAATAGCTATCTACTTTTTAAAAAAGTGGGCGTCCTTTAAAGAGAACGAAAAATCTTACTCTCTCTTCAAAAAATGATCTATTTTTAATAAATCTTCATATGTGATAAAAAGAAAATGTCTATTTAAATAAAAATGAAAACTCTTTCCCCTCATATAAAATCTGATTTATCCAGAATTCACAAAAAGAAAATTTTTGATTTGTCGAGAGAAGAGAAGGCGTATTTTTATTTACATATTTCAACAGATGGATTTAAAAAAAAAAGGAACTTGTGTAAGAAGGTATATAAAATCTTACATAATAGATTTTAAAGTTTCCCAAGATCTCTCCAATAGCTTGAGATTTACAACAGTACAAGCATAAATTATTTATGAATTCTGAACCTCAACTGCCCAAGGACGTTTTATTCAATCAGCTTGATTTAGAGCGGAGCAAATAAATTGGCGTCGTATCTAGTCTGGGTAGAAAGAAAGGATATTTTTGTCTTTTTTTTTTATCTATTTACTGGAACTTTTTAATGTTTTTATGTCTTTTTTTTTTATTGAATACAACTATATACGTATTGGGTGGAAACGCATTTTTAAAAAGTGAGATTTTTTTTAAATTACAAACTTTTTTTGCTCAACATTCTTTCGATTAAAATAGGTTTTTATTTGAAAGATAAAAAAAGGGTATGGAAAAGAGGCGTATACACGCCTTGTATTAGAGAATTTGGGCAGGTAGTAGTTGTGATAGATTTTATGGAAAATTTGGACTTTTTTTTATTCATGTATATCGTTTTAACGATGAGAGAATTTGGGTAAGTCCAAGGTTTGATAGATTCTATGGAAAATGTGGACTTTTTTAAAGTTAATAAAGAATCATTTCGAATAAATGGATAACTGTTTGGGATTATCAGAGACATACTGACTGATGCTCAGATGCTCGTATTCAGAGAAGTCCAGGTTGCCCATCAGTGAGATAGAAAGATCCCATGACCAAAGCCTTGTTACTGGTGAAGAATGGTGATAAACATTGGCGTCATTATGATCCCTAATAGTGGAGAACCCACTCTGGTGCAGGTCCATCAAGGTGATCAAAATATGATTATATTTTAAAGAAATATTTTACAATCATATATGGGGTGCGTAATTGGTGAGATCAACAAGAATTCCATAAATACAATTCCCAAATGTTGGAAAATACAAATTTCTTTGGACGACTTGATTTTTCAAGGGGATTTAAAGAAGTTGTGAATAATATAAAACGTTATTCTTGCGTAGTTTCTGAAAACAATATTTATAGCCTTTAATAGCAAGAGTTATGGTGGCTTTGGTGATCTTGTTACCAGTTTCATAACTTGGTACAATACAAAGAGAGAGATATATTCTAAAAGGTGACCGATTTGTGAAAGACACGCATCGATTGGATACAAGACGATGTGAATGGTTGAAAGGTCGAAGCTTTCTCAGACACGCCAGATAAAGTCGATGTTGTAACCTTCTCCGAGATATCAAAGAGATATTCTGTGGCAAGGACTGCTGGTGGATTGATTCTTTCGACCACCCACACTTCTTCTTCGTCAATGTCATCTTAACCTACACACACAATTCTTCAAAACCTACGTTGTCTGTATTGCAATAGGAACTGATCTAAAGAACTCTCGGGAGATGACGATTCAACTCCTATACTTGTATATACGTTTTGATGAACTTCTTTGCGGATCCATTGGCTTGAAAGCTTGCCATTTGAAACAATAAATTTAGTCGACCTATTCTTATATATATAAATTACTGCAAGAAAGAGAGATTCTTCATCATATTGGAGCTTGGAATAAAAAGATATAACCCAGACATCACAAACAGGAGAAAGCCACAAACAACACACAGTACAATGAACATTCAAAGATAAGTCGCCACACAAAAGAAGATTTCATTAATAATAAGTAGATAAGAAAAGGCCGTTACAGTCCATCTAAATGACAACACATCTCTGTAAAAGAAAGTACCACAAAAACATAGTACAATAGGAAACTAAGATATATACATATTGGTGTACCAATATCCATAAAGTAAAACGTTATCTTTGCTGAATTTTCATTCAAAAAGTACAAAAAAACCTTTAAAATGAAATAGATGTATATACAACAACTTTTGATCATTTCTATATAGAAATAGAGACTTTGAAACACGCTCTTTTTCAGCTAAAAATATACAACTGTAATAATTTGACCGAAGGAGAAAAAATGTTTCTTTGAACAAATTATCGTATATATAGCCGAAGAATGGAGACATATTCAAAAGTTTCTATATTATCAATACCCAGATACTCGTATATGGAGAGAAGTCCAAGTTGCCCATCAGTAAGATGGGAAGATCTCATGACCAAAGTCTTGTTACTGGTGAAGAATGGCGATAAACAGTGGCATCATTGTGATCTTTAAAAGTGGAGAACTCGCTCTAAAATCATAGGTCCATCAAGGTGATAAAATATAGATTTTTAGGAAATATTTTACAATCATATATGTCGCGTGTATAATAAAAATTGCTCTCTTTTCAATTATATATATTTTACTTTAATACTTATATATTCTCTCAATCGATAAATCAGAATAGCACTGTACAATAAAAGTCCATCAAGAAAAATATTTCAAAGTACAAAACCCATCTAGAAAAACGAACGCGTGGTACCTAAACCCATCAATGAAGACCACATCGTAATACACAAATTCAATCAATAAAAACGACATGATAATATTAAAAATATATATTTATATAAAAAAAACGGCAAAAATATTATCAAACTTTTTGAAAATAGAGCAATCCATAAAATAAATCTTTAAATAAAAAGGCATATATTGGATCAAAATATCATTTATTTTTACCAATGTTATAATACCTTGATAAAGGTTGGCGTTCAGCCAATTGAAATATTGGTAAAAATAAATGATATTTTGATCCAATATATGTCTTTTTATTTTAAAAAAATTATTAAGCTTATCAACGAAAATACATTTATAGTATACATTTAATTAATATACAAACGATATTATAGAATACAAATATTTATAAATAAAAGGCAAAATATTATCAAACTCATCAATAAAAACTTATTTATAGTATAAATTTAATCAATACAAAGGAAACCATTGTATAAAAATCTATCTATGAAAACAGGCATCATAGTACAAAAGCCATATTTGAAGAAAGAATCAATCACAATATTAAGAAAAAAATGGTCGAGCTAATACTTGAGAGTACAATAAGACATATCAATAAAGAATGACATCGACGGTCTGTCAACCCCGAGATGACAAAGAATGATGTCACCACCATCCAGAGGACAGTAATGTCAATGGCCACACGTTATTGACGACAGGAGAAAGTAGAGGAGATAAGTAGTGTGTGGAGAAGGCCACTCTATCATGATAAGACTTTACTAATCTTTACTATCACGGGTCGTCATCTTAACCCCTTCTCTCTTATCATCAACAGCCACTTTCTCTCTCTATCCAATGGCCTCTCAGCCTTTTTTCCATGTTCGCCTATGTATTCCTATGTATTAGAAACGTATGATACCCATATAAATTAATTAAACACAAGTTTTTCTTGATACTTGATAGATTTATGGTTTGTTGAACATGCGCAAAGTGTTCTTTGTTATCGTTTTAGAAGTTTTATCATCTTTAAGTTTCTCATTTCGTATTCAAACATTTTGAAAGCCTTTATTCCTTTTTACTGATTACTGTGTTTTTATGGATATAAAAAGAAAAGGTTGAATATATTTGATGAATATATATATATATATATATATATATATATATATATATATATATTATACAAATATAGATATACAAAATAAAGTAGCGGAAGGATGGTATTGAGTTATAGAGAATATTTGGAAATACAGAATCAAAAGAAAGTGATCTCATAATTTAATGGCAGCTCTAAGACGGTTTAAATATTTTGAAACAAACAAATTCTTATTCAATCAATCAATACCTTTATTAACACCTTTAGTCTTATATACATATTCTCCTAAGAGATATGGTATAAGGAGTGGGGAAGAGATAAGAAAAAAGAAATTAGAATAAACAAATTAAATGGGAAATATGTACATAGGGAGCTATGCTATTATATACATAGGTTATAGGTATTCTCCTGCTCTCCAAGAAATCTTTAATTAACTCTTCAAAATAACTTCAAGTATCAACACACGAATGGATTTTTAAAATTTAAATCTTTATTCTAAATATGAAATATATTTATTTAATAACGATGAAAGAAATAAAAGAAAGGTGAAGCGTTTTTTATGAGAGAATTATAAACACAAGCTTTCTCACGATGACAGTTCTTCGACATATGTAAATATGGAAAACACTTGGAGAAGAACTGTGAGCTACGAAAGCTTGTGTGTTTATGATAGTCTAATAAAGAAACTATATACTCTCTCATACACTTATTCACCAACTCGAAGGAATAGCTATTCGTTATTTTATTACAAATGTTATACTTGAAAATGAAAGACTATTCAAAACACTCTCTAGTTAAACCAAACTACCAACAGTTAACGAATAGTGTCACAATATTATGTATACATTTCAGAAACAGTATGAGGTACAGTTATTAAAATGAATCACAAATTCCAGTTTATCAAGTGTTCTCGAAAATCAAAATCTCAACGAATTAAATACTGATTAAAACGCTAAGTTTCTTTATAGAATTCTGCTTTAGCTAACTTTCAGACCTAGTGTCCTTCTTTCTCGACAGGCAATATAATAACGTATGATTCTATAGAATAATTATAGGATCATTCGATATTATTTATCTTGGTAAAGAGGGCCTTCGGCACGAAAGCTCTCCAAGAATAATTCTATAACGAAACTCTTAGCGTTCTGAATAGTACTGAAGCGTTGACAGCGTTCTAAATGGTACTGAAGCGTTGACAGCTTTCTAAATGGTACTGAAGCGTTGACAGCGTTCTAAATGGTACTGAAGCGTTGACAGCGTTCTAAATGGTACTGAAACGTTGACAGCGTTCTGAATAGTACTGAAGCGTTGACAGCGTTCTGAATAGTACTGAAGCGTTGACAGCGTTCTAAATGGTACTGAAGCGTTGACAGCGTTCTAAATGGTACTGAAGCGTTGAGATTTTGATCTTCGCCACAACTTGATGAAGTACAGTAGCCATACCATATTTACCGTTGAGGAAGTCCCCAGGGAAGTTGTTAGCACATGCAGGGTGAAAGGAAGGTTAGTTGGCCATGCAGGAGGATGTACAGACAAAGATAGCCACCAGATGTACTTACCTTCCTTCTTTTTTCTTGGTAGACGGTCCGTGGAGCGACTAGGGCCTCTGGGAAAGTTAGCAAGTTGTACAGTTCTCCCAAGTTGTTGCTAACAACCATACAACCTACTACCTCAGCCAGAAGCTCCTAGCGACGTCGGTCGGCAGAATGCTGAATCCAATCATCCCAACGGATTGATCAATTGGTTGAAGAACTCTTTGCTTTTTGTCGCCAAGAAAGCAACTTTGTTATAAATACATTGCACTTTTGTCTTCTTTCTTTTTTCCAAAATAACAACATAGATCATCTCTTTACAGGCATTCATTTGTAGAAGTTTAAAAATCAAAATGGCATGCAAATATCTTGAATAAAATCCTGAAGACTTATTTCACAACACATCTTGCAATCACAAGAAAACTGGCATGCCTTACACGAGTATTAAGTGCAATACAACCATACAAGTAGGAATAAAAGAAAGAAGGAATGTACAACATAGTTGCTTATTAAAAAAAAGCCGTGCATACACTTTTCTGAAAAAAAAAAGAATTCTCAACTTGAATATTAATAGCTCCTTTTTTATTATTAAATTCAGTTCCCGCATGCAAGTAGAATTTTTAAAAAACTTACTTTTCCAGCTTTTTTTTTCCTTCGTTGATGTTTATTAGTATGATCAAGCACTTACCTCGAAGACAGATGACATGGTGTGGGCTTCTGCGTGAATGTAGATATCCTAATACCATTTGGAGAAAGACGGAGGAAGGACTGATTAACATGCACACATGTATGGAAAGGAGAAATTACAAGTATGACAATATAGAGTGAATAGATCAGGATAGAGAAGCATGACTCTATCCAGGATCTGATTAAGAGTAGAGAAACTGAAGATGTACAGTTTGAGAACGAAGGCAAGAAGAAGAATTGGACTGGTAAACTGGATGGAATGAAGAAACTACCAAGAAATAAAAAAGAGATTGAAACAGAGAAGCAATGGCGCTACTGACTACCAACACCTTGATCAAGAGCAAGATAAACTGAAGAAATACAGTTTGAGAACGAAGGGAATAAGAAGAATTGGACTGGTAAACTGGATGGAATGAAGAAACTACCAATAAATAAAAAAAGAGATTGAAACAGAGAAGCAATGGCGCTACTGACTACCAACACCTTGATCAAGAGCAAGATAAACTGAAGAAATACAGTTTGAGAACGAAGGGAATAAGAAGAATTGGACTGGTAAACTGGATGGAATGAAGAAACTACCAATAAATAAAAAAAGAGATTGAAACAGAGAAGCAATGGCGCTACTGACTACCAACACCTTGATCAAGAGCAAGATAAACTGAAGAAATACAGTTTGAGAACGAAGGGAATAAGAAGAATTGGACTGGTAAACTGGATGGAATGAAGAAACTACCAATAAATAAAAAAAGAGATTAAGATAGAGAAACATGGAGCTACTGACTACCAACACCTTGATCAAGAGCAAGATAAACTGAAGAAATACAGTTTGAGAACGAAGGGAATAAGAAGAATTGGACTGGTAAACTGGATGGAATGAAGAAACTACCAATAAATAAAAAAAGAGATTAAGATAGAGAAACATGGAGCTACTGACTACCAACACCTTGATCAAGAGCAAGAGAAACTCAAGAAGTACAGTTTGAGAATGAAGGGAAGAAGAAGAATTGGACTGGTGAACTGAATGGAAGAACGAGAAACGACCAAGAAATAAAGAAGAGCATAAAACAAGGAAACATGGCGCTACTAGATACCAACATCGTGCTCAAGAACAAGAGAAACTGAAGAATACCAGTTAATCATTTGAAGATCATCATAGGAACACTTCGAAGTATTATATAGAACCATTTAAGTAATTTAAATAAATGGGAAGTGAAGATAGATAATATAAAAAGAATATGAGGCTATTTTTATGATAAATTTACAAGAAAATGTAAGGAAGATTAACATTGGTTTTAATAGTTGGTGTAATTAACAAGTGCAACACGAACCAAGATATATACATATTTCTATTAGAACAATTCTTAGGTTGTATGAAAGTGACAAAAAGCTTATATTCTTTAAAGATTCATAGGGTTCAATATAATATATAATAAAAACCCTATATTAAAATAAAAATGTTAAAATTCTTAACTAAATACATTTTACAAATCACAGTTTTTATTGGCGGATTTTGATTTAGAAAACCGAATTGACAATTTTTACTCCATTTTTGGTAAAATGAAATTGATATCTCTTTGAGCAATCTTTGTTAGGATCTGAGTTCAAATGTTTCAGTCGATTTTCTACAGGCGAGTGAAATAAAAAAGTACTAGGATCTAAGCAGAATATTAGCGTCCTTTACCTGAAAAAGAGAATTTTCATTAGAAGAGGAATATATGGAACAAATTTGATAGATCAAAGGTATAATGGAATAGATTCCTTTTTTGTTATATAGATGATTTCATTTTGTGAAAAAGATATCGAAATTTTAGAGAATTTCAAGAAATGCCTGTTAGAATCTATCCAGCATTTTCCGCATGTTTACAAGTATATATAGAAATCATTTCGTTCTTTTTTTTATAATCTTTTATAAGCTAAAATAGTTTATCATATACCATCAAAACCAATTTATAAAATACATCAAGCTTTCAAAATTTAACAAAAATATGACTAAAAGTTCATTCCTATAGGAATAGTGGTTAACATTCATCAGTATATTTTAGCTTTCCTAATCATTAGATTTTATAAAAAAAACTTAATAATTTTAGAAAACCCATGTTATTTTAATCACAATAAACAGAACAATAGAGTCACATCATGATTCGTACTAAAATTGTTGTTCGTAGTATAAAAATACGTATATCACTAATGCGAACAGCAAAAATGGGATTCTTTTATTCACTTTTGCGTGATGTAATAAAAGAACATTTTTGCTGCAAGCCATTTTGTCAAATATTGATATAAAGATGCAATAAACAATTTATGCTTTCAATTCCACATAATGAGAGAGCTACGAAAGATATTTTTTACAAGGTAAGATTCGAAAATATCACAATTTACACACACAAAATATCATTATCTTTAAAAAGAAGGTCTCTATCACAAAGTAGTTTCAATATTTCCCAACCAACTCAAGAATTCTTCCAAAATGGACAATAAAGAAACCATTTGTAATTTATGGTCATCCTTTAATAGACAGGTGACCTTCTTTACTTGATGTCTGCGCCATGATATTTGGGGACATATGTCGTAACAGAATTTGTCACGAAGGATGTCCATCATGATTCCTAAAGTACTTGTTGAAGTGAAATCACAAGACGAAAAGAGTTTTTTTCATATATAACATTCGCATAAGCTTTCAGGTAACTCGCCCATGTACGGCACAAACAATATATTTGATCTAACAAAATCAATAAGTATAATAGGGCAAGGTCTCTTAAAAGAAGCCTGTTTTAAGACACCTGGATTGTATATTGAATTTGTTAAATTGTAAAGCCAGGGATGAATATGTAAAAATGTTTGATGTATTGTTCCCATAGAAGAGTGTTTTTTCCGAAAGCTTGTAGAAACGTTATTAATGAAAGATTCTCTTCTCCCTGTCTTGTAATTTCTCTTTTATTAAATGAATAGAATGGTCTCTTGGAAGAGAAATGTTTTAAGAGACCTGGACCTGGATTAAATATTGAATTTGTTAAATTGTAAAGCCAGGAATGAATATGTAAAATATTTGGTGTATTGTCTTCGTAGAAGAGTGGTGTCTTGTCCAAAGACAAAAGCTTGAACATACGTTATATATGAAAGATACTCTTCTCTCTGTCTTGTCATATCTCTTTAAATAAATGAATAGGATGATTTACCAACGTCTTAATAAATTACTTGGCATCCAAGAAGTGAATTCTGTCCCTCCTCCGGCTTCTAAGTACGGACGTCCTGGGTTGATAAAAGGAAAATCCTTGATGCTTATCTGCTGCTTTTCTGCTCCTTTCTTCACAAGGACCAATTAGACAAACACTGAATATAGAGGTAACAAATGAAAACATTGAGACGTGAATGTTTCAACAATAATAATAATAATAATAATAAATCAAGCTTCTACTATCCTTTACTGCGATGAAAAAATATTAGGATGGCCTGGCTCGCAGTAAGGACAGTAGAAGCTTGATTTATTTGTGAAAAGAAACATTCGCGTCTTAATGTTTTCATTTTTAATATATAGATGGCTTTGTATAGGTGTGTTCTTTTTACTATAAAACCAATTGAAATTCCTTTTGATTCACAATGGGTTGAGTTTTCAAATAGGTATCCACTTTTGTTTTAAATACAGAGTATATACAGTAAAACCCCTTTATAGAGAACCCCAATGGGATTAAACCTCTGGTTTACTATAGCTATGGTTCATTATAGCCATAGTTCACTGTATTATAAAATGGGGATTATTTCAGGTTCGTTATAAAAGAGGTTGGCTATATCCTGAGTTCGTTTTAGCGAGGTTTTACTGTATATAACCTCGTTTTAACGAATTTCAAAGGATAATAAAAGTAAATTTGTTTATCTGAAAAATCCGTTAAAATGAAATTATAGATTTATCCATTCGAAACTTCACAACAGATGATATTTGGAGAGAAATTATATCTTCTGTTAGACAAAGTATTTGAGCCAATGTGAGTAGATTTGAGAGCTTTTATGTTTAATATCAAATTCACAAAATCTTTAGATCAATATATTTTCATATTGTATCATCTAGTAATTATAGACATTCGCCATCTATACATAATATTTTATTGTAAAAGAAAAGGATGGAGTAGGCTTCTTATTTAACAATGCCATATCTAACCACAATTTTGCAGGTTTATTTCATATCAATATATCTCTAAGAGATAGTTTCATTCTACATTCTTAATCTAAAGCTATAGTTGCGATGTAATTACACCTATCCCCCGATTTACACGGTAGATACGTTCCTGAGAAAAACGTGTAAATCGGGGGATAGGTGTACACAGAAATAAAAATAAAATGCATTGACAGGTTAAAATATGTAGTCAGCACATAAGCTTGGGATTCCTCTTGAGATGTGTACACAGCGCATGTGTTCAATCACAGTAGCATTTAGTATAGTGCGATAAAAACAAAAACAAAAAAAAACTTATTTTGAAAACCGTGTAAAAACAAGTACCGTGTAAATCGGGGGATAGGTGTATTAAATTTAAAAATAAAAAGAACGAATTGTTATTTGCTTCGTATTTTATAAAATTACTACTAAATAGATAAAATATGTAATAAAAATAGTTCATTGCAATCTGTTCTTTTATTTTTACTTCTTTCATATCCTTTGTATGTATAACGTGTTGGGAATATACAATTCTGTGTTATACTTTTCACAGAGAATTCTGTTAATGTTATTCTCTCCAAAGATCAGTTAAGTCTTTACTATAATCTCTTCTAAAAAAAGCAAGTGTAGGAAGAAACGCTATCTTCTGTGGAAATGAGTTAACATTTTATCTACCAGGATACTTTTAGTTTTGATAGTTTAAATCTATTTCCTTACATCACTTACTAGTTGGGTCACGCGGGTGTCAATCAATTCCCATTTCTTCACTTTTTCCATTAAGTTTTTAGATATTTTCTATTTTCACACACACAAAGCTTTATTAAGACCACCAATCTTATACAGATTCACCACAGGAAGAAATAATAGATAGAGCTCCTATACTCCAGGCAGCGAATCACCCAACAGCCACCTGGGTATTTTCTATTTTCTATATGCGCTGTTTTAAGCTAGATGCCCCTTATTTCTGTCGATACATATACAATCTTTTAAAGAAAACTCAAGCATTAATCTTATATATTGTTGAAGTTATGTAAACGTCAAAACTAAATTTCTCATTACAATACCTATATTCGAATGTTAAACTACACTCATGAACAAAATTTAAGGAGGTTGTACAATGTATATACGAGTACAGTTAAACCTGTCTATAGCGCCCTCTCTTGAGACTCACCAAAATAGGGTGCTATAGAGAGGGGGTGCTATAGACAGGTCACTTTTAATGTAAATCGCATCGTACTACGTATTTATAAGCGGGCGCTATAGAGAAGAAGGCGCTATTTGGAGGGGGCGCTATAGACAGGTTTAACTGTATCGGGATTGAGACAATAAATCTGAAAGATATTTGATACATAGTGACCTCCAAGATGATCAATCCTATAGCTATAGTTGTCAACAGGTGGTAAGACTTGGTTGTCTTGGTGTTTTTCTCTTCAGTTATTCTATAAATGTAGTAAAAGGATATTCCTTCTGATCTAGTGTCTTCAATGCCTCCATCAATAAATCTTTTAGTATGCCATCATATAAGGTTGTCTCATAAGTTCGCAAACACTTGCAAAAAATTCAAATACCAATATTATTCGCCGTTATGTATAATGGCTTTGTATTATGTATAAAGTAATTGTATTATTATGTATTCACCGTAATAATAATAATCGCCAAGTAATAAGAAATACACGAACTTTTAGGACAGCCTTATATCTTACTACATAGCCTAACCAATTTGGGGTTTTCGTTTTCTTAGTATTTTAAATTGACATCTGTTCTCTTTCCTATAACACCTCTTCATTTGTGACTTGCAAAATCTACGGTAGTTTCTCTCTCTGCAGACGTCTTAAATACTATACCTCAAAAATCTCTTTAAATCTGAGACCTCTTTGGATATATACATATATATGGCATTCCTTAATCCTTTTGATTCAAGTTTTTAAAGCACTGAAGAAGAATATTCTTAACTCCTTATTTTCCTCGAGCAATCAAATGGGTAGAGAAGTTATAAAAACGTTACATCTTTCAAACTTTGTTTTAAAGAAAAAACTTATCTTTGCAACATTGAAATGTTGATAAGATTTTGGTGTCTTTCCCCTCAAAGTTGAAGTTATCAACAAGATAGCTTTTTTTCACAGCACAGTACCGAAAACTGATTAAATGTTAGTTTCTAGTCCAAAGTTAATGGACTCGGCATTCCTAAACAACTTTTGGTTGAATACTTCTTTTTTTATTTTTTTGGTATTGGGTACTTTTTAGCTTTGTCATAATGAGAATAAGTATGCAGAAAGTTCATACTGGCTTTGTGATTAGGCTAAGAAATGTTTAGGCTTCTGTAGCTAGCATTTCAGCATTGAATCTTTGGGTCTTTATCGGGTCTTCCAAAATAGACAATGTTCATCTTAAACACAGTACACTTTTGATTTTCTAACCAACTTAACTTTAATTAGAATCTTTGAGTCAACGTTGTGAAATTTTGGTTACATATGGACGCTTCCATTGACAGAATGTTCATTATATGTTTTGTTTGAATCTTTGGCTATAAAACCATTTAATCATTTCTTAGCATATTTGAAACTTTAAAAAGCCTATATTTCTTTAGACTATACGCCTATTCTTTGCTCATATAGATTTTCCAGGGATTTATTAATTACTCTAAAGCACCTATTGTAAAGAAGTTTATTTTATGTCTGGTATATTAATGAATAAAGGGAAATTTGTCCTAAAGCTCAAAAAGCCTAGAATAAAAGTGTATAAAGAGTTTAGGGGGAGATACTTAGAATTTTCATTTTACTATTAAAACTTCGGTTCTCTCATATCCTATTAAGCGTCTCCTTGTCTGAAGTTTAAAGCTTTTTTTTTTTTTTTTTACTTATCCTTTTAGTCTAAATTAGACAAGATCTTGGAGGTCGTGCTCGTAAAGAAGCTCAAGAACACTTCTTGGTTCTCTGTACAGGGATCTTTTGTCCTTTCCAATGCAATTTAGTAAATGTTGGGGAGTGTCCTCTTCGGTTTTGCACCTAGTGCACATGGGAAAGCTTTTGGCTCCCTCTTTATAGACTAGAGGGCGCAGGTGACCAGATTTCCATCTGGCCAACTGTGTCGATTCCCTTCTGTTTAGTTGGAGGGTCTGTTTTTTGGGGTTTTCTACCTGGTACCAAGAATGATGGAAACTATCTCTATGGTTCCTTATCAGTTGTAGTTTTAGTTTGTTAATATGGTCAGTTTAAAGCTTTGGCTTACTAGCTAAAATATATTGGTGTTCATTTTGACACATACTTTAGCTTCATAATTTATAAGAGAATATTACTCTTGTGTATAAAGGTTATCTTAATAATTCTTTTGTCCGTGATATTTTGGTTAAACTAGTTAATAATGATAGTGTTACTTACCTTTGGATGTTTGACTCCAAACATGTAAACTTCTCTATATAAAGTTCTTGCAAGCATTATGCTTTGCTTGACCTTATCAATTCCAGAATGTTGAACATTGAATCTTTAGTTCAAAACATTTCTTGATTTTATGAATAAAGTTCTTGTTAATGTTTTGTTTGAATTCTCATTAACCAGAATACTGAACATTGAAACTTTGGTTCAAAACATTTTGGAATTTTCTGGATATGGTTCTTGCTAATATTGTGCTTTGCATGGCTTCATTTCATGTTGTACATTGAAAATTTGGTTCAAAACATTTTGAAATTTTCTGGATAAGGTTCTTGCTAATATTGTGCTTTGCTTGGCTTCATTTCATGTTGTAGATTAAAAATTTGGTTCAAAACATTTTGGAATTTTCTGGATAAGGTTCTTGCTAATATTGTGCTTTGCTTGGCTTCATTTCATGTTTTACATTAAAAATTTGGTTCAAAACATTTTGGAATTTTCTGGATAAGGTTCTTGCTAATATTGTGCTTTGCTTGGCTTCATTTCATGTTTTACATTAAAAAATTGATTCAAAATATTTAGGGATTCTCTGAATAAGGTTCTTGCTAGAATATTGGGCTTTGTTTAGTTTCATTTACCAGAATGTTGTACATTGAAAATTTGATTCAAAATATTTTGGGATTATCTGGGAAAAGTTCTTGCTAGTATTGGGCTTTGTTTGGTTTCATTTACCAGAATGTTGTACGTTGAATCTTTGGTTCAAAATATTTTGGGATTCTCTGGATAAGGTTCTTGCTAATATTGTGCTTTGCTTGGCTTCATTTACCAGAAAGTTATACATTGAAAATTTGATTCAAAATATTTTGGGATTCTCTGAATAAGGTTCTTGCTAGAATATTGGGCTTTGCTTGGCTTCATTTACCAGAATGCTGAAGATTTAACCTTTGAATAAAAACATTTTGGGATTCTTTGGAAAAAAATTCATGCTAGTGTATTGGGCTCTTTGTTTGGCTTCATTTACCAGAATGTTGAACATTGAATCTTTGGTTCAAAACATATTGGAATTTTCTTGGAAAGGTTTTTGCTAGTATATTGGGCTTTGTTTGGT